TCCAAAAAAAAAAAACCCCCCCCCCCCCCAGAGTAAGAGACTTCATTAAAGTGGACTAACTAAACTTCCAAGTTGGTGAACCACTATGGATCTCTTGCCTATCGATTGATAGTTGTTGTCTCTGTGATTGACTATTAATCACTACGAACCTAGTAGCTTAAATTGGACATCCCAGTAAATCTCCATTATCATCCCTAATAAATGTTTAGTTCATTTCCCCCTTTTTGAGCCCTAAGCTCAACTACACAACCACGTAAATTACACCATTAGTTTAAATAATAACCTTCCGGTACTCTCCCACTAATCACTTAGTCTATACGATTACTTTTTGCTCTCTCACGAAAATCACAAATATACCAAATAGCCATGCAAATGATACCTGCCTTGATCCAATGTCTAAGGAACCAGACTTCCATACAATTACTTTTCACTCTCTCACGAACATTCCACCAATAACTCTAAATTTCTAGAGGAAATCAATTTTAATTTGCCAATTGTGGGAGTGTAAGAAGGGGAAAGGGTAAGAAAGAAAGAGTAGAGAATTGTAAATTCCATTCATTTTGTTTAGGTATGCTATAAATGTATACAAATTATAATTGAGGTAATGCTCACAATCATTGTTGGCATGGTGATAAAAAGCACCCACATGGCATACTGATAATAACTACTAATTGCTAAAGATGACCAAGCATGTTGATGTTTTAGCAATCATGGTCACATTCATTTAGAATGTTTCAGATGGCACCAAGCCAAATTGATCAAATGTACAAAATAATGTAGATTAGGAAAGAAGATCTATAAATTAAGGAGCTTAGGGCCATGGTTAGAGTTGCAAGTAGGTGGATTAATTAGATGGATTGAGAAATTAATGTAAACTTAATTAAAATTTTAAAATTTTTTTAGTTCGAGTATAATATTTACCCAACTCTATTTGAATATTGTCAATCCTACCCCGTTACCCGTCCTAATTTTATAGATCCATCATTATTAACAAGCAAATGCTCTAAATGTACATCTCCAAGGGTCCTAAAATCCACTTCTCAAATCTGAACTCGGTGCACTGCACACTTGGTGATATCCGAACACCATAAACTGAGGCGTAGCTCAAATGATAATAGAGACGAATTGTAAATTTAAACGTCCTGAATTTGAATCTTGACAATTCTTTGAAACTAATTCAAGAGAGATTTATCCCTCATAAATATTCTAGTCCCAGCGTAGATGATCTGCTTTTAATTAGACTGGAAAGAAGATTAATCGAGGTGTACATAAATTAATTCGAACACTCCTACCCGTTGAACTGAAAAAAACACATAAGCTCAAGGCTACAATTTAATACAGATCCCCTAGATTGCATAATTGAAGAGCATCAATGATTTAGGACCTACAGTTACCACATTAATGCCCTTTTTATCAAAAGCATTTGCTTTTACAACATGCTTTTCCTTTCAGTGATGTGAATGACACCGTTTTTTTTCCCTTTTATTTTCTCAACTAAGTCAACCCCACGTTTCTCATTTTGAGTTGGTTCGTGTTTCACATTAAAAAAGGTTGTCCCTCACCTACAGATTGTTTTTTCCCTACATTTTCTCAGCTAGTCAGTTTCACAATCTCATTGTCCAAAGTAAATATTTTTTAAAAATTTTAAGTTACAAACCACCCACTTATTATTTAATTTTAAAAATATAAGTCAATAAAAATTTTATTAATTTTTTATAATGGATAAATATACTCTTACTACATGTCACTCTGAATTTTTTAATACCTACCATTCACCACCATCACCATTGTGCTATTGTCGCCACCACTACTACCACCATCACTGCCGCCAACACCATTATGCCTTTGTCACCGTCACCACTACCATTATTATGCGACCACCATCACTATTGTTGTGTCGCTACCACCACTATTATTGTGCCACCACTATTGTCATCATCATTGTCACCACCATCGTGTTGTCGTTGTCCCCACAATCACTGTCATTGTGCCACTGCCAACACTGTTGGAGTTATCACCATCGCTACCACCATCATTATTATGCTACCACCACCACTATTGTCAGTATCACTATCACTATTGTGATAGTGGTGATAAGAATAAACTAGTTACAGTGGGATGATTAAAAAAAAGACAAAATTAGAATAATAATAATTTTTAAACTTCAATTTTTTATTTTTGACCAACAGTTTAATTCAACTCAATATTTAAATTTCAATAGATACCAAACAATCTGTAAATTTAAAAATTCAACAATCAACATTCAATATTTAGTATTCACATTTTAGTTTTATTAAACACCCACCATAGTAACACTATTAAGACAACGGACCTACACCTTATCCAAACCTAAATCTAAATTGAGAATAATTACAACACGATAAAAGAGTAGAGCAATTATTATGAACTATGAGTTGAATTAAAATTAATTCCTCAATTTCATCCTATGTTAGACATGAACCAGACATGCAGCAAGTGTCAACAGTTTAAATTCTTAAAGTTGGGTCACCAAGCATATATACATGAAAAGAAATGTTGGGTTTTTTTTTTTTTTTTTTTATTGTCACTACCTTCTTGTTCTTTTTCCTGGGTAGGGTTTTCTTTTTCTTGACAAGCCATTTTGGCATTATTAATATACTAAGATACAGAATAGCAGGTGCTATATGATTGAAAACCCATGCATGCATGCTCAATGATTCACAAAGTTCCAAACGAGTTACTCCAGCAGAACAATAACTAACCCATTCACGATCACATCACAAATCATATTTACCAAAAGGATGCATGGACTTGACTAGGAACCGACAAAAAAAAAAACAAAAAAATTGGTACAGTAATTTTTTAAATTTATTATTTTAACGGATTTTTTTATAATTTTTATAAGTTATTTTATAACAAAAAGTTTATCACTTTTGTGATTAATTTATCATATTTGTGAGTATTTTTATTATTATTGTTGGTGTTTTTACCACTATTGTAGTAACTATATTTACCACTTTTCTCCGGTAGAAAAAAATTATTACTTTTGTATGTAATTTATCATATTTGTAAATATTTTTATCACTGTTGTGATAATTATTTTTATCATTTTTTCGGTGCCACAATCGTAATAAAAATACTCATAATTGTGATAAAAATATGTGCATATATAATAAATAAAGTTATAGTACTGAAATTTATTTTTTCGATACCATAGACTAGTTAAATGATTCATTCTTTGTATTAATTCGATGAGCATGAGACAGTACTATTTCACATAGTAAGTAATATACCATAAGCATAGTGCTTACATAAAACTTTAAATAACAAATTTTGTTATTTTGCTAAAACTTTAAAACAAATTACATTGTTCAACATTAAATTATGGTCCCAATGTCTTATGATATTTACCTCTCAACTGCTTAAATTAGTTTTGCATCGTTGACAATCAAACCATTATTTATTTTCGATACACATGTCGATTTACTTCTTGACAAATATTTGAAGTAAAATCGTGCGTAATTGAAAAGAAAACGGCATAACATTTCATTGAATATGTAGTGTTTATAGTGCAAGAAATAAGAAACTAACAATTATAATTAAAGTTAAAATGTGAGAAATTAATATGATAGTTGAAGAGATAATGCGAGAAGGGACATGATTAGGGGACCCAAAACTCAATTAGAGTGCCATACTTTGAAATTCATCGCTTTTATCATCTGTTCCTCTTGCCTTGCCATCCAAATCCATGGTGCCCACATCTTGTATACGTCCATTTGCAGCATCCTTTCCTTTAAATTTCAATGCAACTAGCAAATATATCAAGAAATTCACTCCATTAATGGCCGTCAATATCCAGTAGAAGTAATCAAGCTTGCTTGTGTTCAGATTATTCCTNTTTTTTTTTTTTTTTTTTTATTGTCACTACCTTCTTGTTCTTTTTCCTGGGTAGGGTTTTCTTTTTCTTGACAAGCCATTTTGGCATTATTAATATACTAAGATACAGAATAGCAGGTGCTATATGATTGAAAACCCATGCATGCATGCTCAATGATTCACAAAGTTCCAAACGAGTTACTCCAGCAGAACAATAACTAACCCATTCACGATCACATCACAAATCATATTTACCAAAAGGATGCATGGACTTGACTAGGAACCGACAAAAAAAAAAACAAAAAAATTGGTACAGTAATTTTTTAAATTTATTATTTTAACGGATTTTTTTATAATTTTTATAAGTTATTTTATAACAAAAAGTTTATCACTTTTGTGATTAATTTATCATATTTGTGAGTATTTTTATTATTATTGTTGGTGTTTTTACCACTATTGTAGTAACTATATTTACCACTTTTCTCCGGTAGAAAAAAATTATTACTTTTGTATGTAATTTATCATATTTGTAAATATTTTTATCACTGTTGTGATAATTATTTTTATCATTTTTTCGGTGCCACAATCGTAATAAAAATACTCATAATTGTGATAAAAATATGTGCATATATAATAAATAAAGTTATAGTACTGAAATTTATTTTTTCGATACCATAGACTAGTTAAATGATTCATTCTTTGTATTAATTCGATGAGCATGAGACAGTACTATTTCACATAGTAAGTAATATACCATAAGCATAGTGCTTACATAAAACTTTAAATAACAAATTTTGTTATTTTGCTAAAACTTTAAAACAAATTACATTGTTCAACATTAAATTATGGTCCCAATGTCTTATGATATTTACCTCTCAACTGCTTAAATTAGTTTTGCATCGTTGACAATCAAACCATTATTTATTTTCGATACACATGTCGATTTACTTCTTGACAAATATTTGAAGTAAAATCGTGCGTAATTGAAAAGAAAACGGCATAACATTTCATTGAATATGTAGTGTTTATAGTGCAAGAAATAAGAAACTAACAATTATAATTAAAGTTAAAATGTGAGAAATTAATATGATAGTTGAAGAGATAATGCGAGAAGGGACATGATTAGGGGACCCAAAACTCAATTAGAGTGCCATACTTTGAAATTCATCGCTTTTATCATCTGTTCCTCTTGCCTTGCCATCCAAATCCATGGTGCCCACATCTTGTATACGTCCATTTGCAGCATCCTTTCCTTTAAATTTCAATGCAACTAGCAAATATATCAAGAAATTCACTCCATTAATGGCCGTCAATATCCAGTAGAAGTAATCAAGCTTGCTTGTGTTCAGATTATTCCTTAGCCACCCCTTCTCTAAACCACCAGTGGTACCTTCAACGATCTTCACCAGTGCAGTACTCAACCAACTTCCAATCCCAATCTCAGTTAAAAACAAAGCACTGCTAATGCTTCGAGTCCCATCGGTCGCTTCGTCATAGAAAAACTCCAGTTGGCCGACGTAAGTGAACACTTCAGCACTACCAATAAGGAAGAACTGAGGAAACAACCAGAAGACAGACAAGCTCGTCGGATTAGAGTTGTTCCGGCGCATATTTTCGACCAATGCAGCTGAGGCCAAGGCGAATATGGAGATGAATAGGCCGACACCCATGCGTTGGAGTGAAGTGATGCCACGACGGTGACCGGTTTTTCGCTGGAGAAATGGGACGATTAATTTTTCGTAAATGGGGACGAGGATGAGAGCGTTGATGGCGGCAAAGACCGTGACGGAGCCGGCGGGGATTTCAAAGTGTTTGCCTAGTTTTCTGTCCATTGTGCTGGCTTGTGTGATGAAGAAGGTTGAGAGTTGAGCAAATGAAAGGGAGAGAGCTATGGTTGATGCCCATATGGGTAGGACTCTGATGAAAGATTTGAATTCTTCTACTTGTGTGACTGTGCATAATCTCCAACGGCTCTTTGTGTTGCCTTCAGGGTCTGTTACAACAGCTGCTTTGTCCAAAAATCTACAAAACAAAGACATCAAACTTTGATTAATTGAAAGGCTATACTTTTTTCTCTGAAATTTGTCGGGTTCGTATCATATTTAAGTTCCGTCGTCTAAAAATTAATGAGATTCATAGTCAATTTATCTATAATCCATGTTGAGCTCATAAAATATATTAGCGATGAGAGACCTGAATTTCTATTGATATTATAGAATTATTTAGTTTATGTATCATATAATTAGGGATTATATGAATAGGCTTAGACAAAACTCCAGTATGCACTTCTTCGATTTCTCGACAAAGAGAAATATAACTAAAAGTGATTTGTGTTAAACGGGTTTATAACGTCTTTAAGTGAGTTCTTATCGAGACATTTATGTAAAAAGGGTGGTGGTTCCACCTATTCATCACATGAACCCATTAGCTAGGTATTGATTTCAAGTCAAATTAATGTATCTATGTTTATAAGTGAGAGGCCTAGTACAAATCATGTTCTTATATCATATTTAGACAGAAAAAGTGACATTATATGTACCATAGAAAAACAAGATCTATCAATATCAGGCCCGAAAAGTAAAGATTGTAAGGTGATTGTCAGTGCTGAAAGTAAGTAATTTTGGGTCAGATTCTGTATCTTCAATTCAATTGAGAGTCATAGGAGTATAGTGTCCTCAATCACAAAAGGATCCAGCAAGTCAATCTGAAGGATAACCTATTAAATTTTGAAACAAGCCTGGAGAAATGACTCTGTTCAGTTGATAGTGATCATAGACCATAATACTAAAATAAGTGAGTTCTCCTCAATTTAGGGAATGGCTAATTTCCCTTAGAAAATATTAGTTACGATCTACTATCAGTCTAATAAGTTAAATAAATTAAATCATAAAAATAAACAGTGTTATCAGCATAGGATCGGATTGACAAGTCAAATCGACAAACTGGTCTAGTTCTACTATTAAATTGTCTGTGTAATGATTTTAGAGACCTGAGCAATTCGATTTTGTGTGGTATAAAAAGTCTAATTTGGGGCAACTTTGTCCTAAATTGATCTCTTCTCCAATTTCTCTCACTGTCTCACTCTCATATGCAACGGCCTGCCTGACCTAGCCAATTGACGAGCTCTCTCCCTTCTTGTGTTAACTATTTTTTTTTTCCAACTGTCAGGGCTATACGGGTCAACTTACGCAGGTCAAAGACAAATCATTTTCGACGAGATTAAGATATTCATGAGGGATCTCTCGTGAAAGGCTTATTCATGTTAACTAGTAAGTCCTCTCTCTCTTCTCGTTGGGTCCGATTCTGAAAATAGGTATATGATACATAAAACTGACCTGTACTGTGCAGTGTGAGCAAGCTTTCGAGCACCAAAAATATCAGATTTCTCAGTTTTAACCTCATGAAGATCACCCGCAACTCCCACTTCAACTCCTCTCATATGGTTCCTCACAGACGCCACAATCACCTGAATGAACCTAGTAAAAGCACTTCCCATCGGCTTCTGGTACCTATACTTCCGAAAACCAGCTCCTAATATAACTATCGAGCAGAACATCGCCCCCGTCGGAACCGCAAACCCCCAAGTCCAGCCTTTCTCTTGCTGTAAGTACATCATGAAGGTGATTCCCAAGAGTGCACCAATGTTGATTGCGAAGAAGAACCAGTTGAAGAATGAGTACTTCTTTTGGACTTCTCTTGTGTCGGCCTCGTCGAACTGGTCGGCGCCGAAGGAGGAAACGCAAGGCTTGATGCCCCCGGTTCCGAGAGCGATGAGGGCCAGTGCACCGTAGAGGAAGGCTGTTTGGTTGGATGATGCTGGTATGCAGGGTTGCTTGATGCATAGTGGTGGACGTAAGCTGTCTATGGATGCTGAAAGTGTCAACAACACCATGCCCTGTTACATTGAAAAATAATACACATGAATAACATTTCCATTCCCACATCCTTGGCCTAGCTACGTATGTGAAATAAATTAGGAGTGACCAATTTGAGTTTAATCCAAAACATTTGGTACTTGAACAAAAATTTCTCATACCAGGCTTGAGGTGGATGATTTTTATTTTATTTTTGCCATATTTAAATTCAGGTAGTACCCGAATTGAGTTATAAGTTTCAGAAACTCAATCCGAAGTGAACTAGAATTTTAAGGTGAGTTGTGTAACCTAATACTTAAATTTAAGTTCAACACAAATTAACTTTTAATTTAACTCGATTTTCAACCCAGTTAGTGTAACCTAAGAATCAATATGATTTGTGTACCTCAAGTTCGATTTGAGCTTTAACAACCCTATAAGGGTAGTTCAAGTGGTAATAGGGACGAGTTATAAACTCAGACGTCATGAGTTTAAAAATTAGTAATCCTTTGGGGCCAAACTATGAGGGATGTATCCCTCGTGAATACCCTAATCCAGATGTGAATGTTCTGCTTTTGACCAAATTAGAGAGGATTAATCGACGTGCGTGTAAATTAATTCGAATACCTCTGACTGTTGAACAAAAAAAAAAATCTAAGCTTTAACAATTTGGACATGAGTCAACTTCGAATCGAAATGTTACAGGTTTAATTCGAACTCGGGTTGAGCATAAGTTGATGTTTTATAATTTGGGTGGAGTTAGGATTGCCTCTCAACCCACCAAGCCTATCAGAGTTGCACTCCTAAAATAAATGCTCAAAACTCATTTTGGAAAATGCTATGTTTATCAAAAAATTTTACAAAATTTTTCATACCAAATGATGTGGCATAATTTTCATCATTGAATATTAATGAGACCCACTTATCTGATACTGTGCCACATCATTTGGGATGAAAATTTGATAAAAAAATTTGATAAGTATAACATTACCCACTCGTTCTAGAAGGCAGCCTATGCCTAAAATGGCCATGGAACTATTTTGAAGTTGCTGCCAAATGCAGGCTTTAAATGGCAAATTAGGCAGGGCAAACTTGCTGGTTCTTACCACATAATAGATGCAAGAGAAGATGATGATGGTTAAAAACCGTCCCAAATAAGAATCAGCAAGGAATGCTCCGAGGAGGGTCAGAACATAAGCAGTTCCAATCCAATCAGTTACATGAGTGGCAGCATTAGGGAGTGACTGATGCATCTCAACATAAAGGTAGGGTACCATGTTCACCGCCACCGCAAAAAATGCTAACCTCTCAGCCACCTCATTGACTGCAAAACCAAACAATATACATCATCCACATCAAGGCCCAATGCAAAGTATGAGGAAGATCAAAGATGCAATTGCATGAGACCTATTCAAAAAAGAAAAAAAAAAAAAAAACAGTCCAGAGCACGAGGCTAATTGTTAAATACCAATGATGAAAGGAGAGGCCTTCCATCCTCCGGTGGTTCTCTTATCGGCAATTCTCCCTCTAAAATCAACACAACCATTGCTTACCAATGTTGTGGACTGGTTTCCATCCTGCAAAACCACCCTCTCAGCTTACCTTAATAATAAACAAAACCTTAAAACATAAATCAAGTTCAACTAGGACATCATTACCATAACGTTTTGCTTGTTTTGTTCCATTCCATCCATGGATGCCTCGATATAGGACTTGTCGAACAGATCACTGAAAGGCTTGATTTTGTCCATGAAAGTATTACAAAGTTTTCAGTCTCTAATAAGATAAGTTTTCTGTGTAAAGGGTGTTGCATTTATATTTAATCTAACCTTTTTCCAATTCGTGTGAAGATTTTACAGTTGTATATTTATTGAACATTTGACTAGTATAATTTTGAAGGCTTCTATAGCGCCATTTTGTCGAACACTTGGAGGGTGTTGCCGGCGACAAGGTTTAATAATGTGCTTGATTGCAAAATGTAGTTAAACCCAATGTTGAAATAATATAGAGTTGGAGTAGATGTACAAAGAAGTTGGAATTCTTCAAACTGCCGACCAAACATTTAGGTCGAATTGCAAAGGACAAAATTGCCGAATGGAAAATATTCTTGAGGATTGGTGGAACTTGACGTTAATTCAACCGTGATAAAGAAGTTTCGTCATTATGTCAGTAAATTAAGTTCTAATAACTGACATTATGAGATAAATTCTCCCGATACATTTTACTTTTAATTTTATTTTTGACAGATCGTACGTTACGTTTCAAGTGAGAACCATTGTATATAAGTGAATTTCTCAGTAATTAGGGATAGATGATCTGCTAAGAAATAAATTGAGGAAAAAATGTATCGAAGGGGATTTGAATTCAACATTTCTCATGTATGTGAGTCAAGAATACGGCCCATTCAAGCATGCACAACTCCAGCTCTGCTTCCCTACTGGCTTGAAAAAATTATGATGTTTTATGTTAACAATTCTTGCACGCCAGGAAGTGCTCCGGTCATCATTTTGCAAACAATTATAAGCCTGTTATTTTAACGTACATTGTACTGTTAGCCGAGTTGTGNAAAAAAAAAAAAAAACAGTCCAGAGCACGAGGCTAATTGTTAAATACCAATGATGAAAGGAGAGGCCTTCCATCCTCCGGTGGTTCTCTTATCGGCAATTCTCCCTCTAAAATCAACACAACCATTGCTTACCAATGTTGTGGACTGGTTTCCATCCTGCAAAACCACCCTCTCAGCTTACCTTAATAATAAACAAAACCTTAAAACATAAATCAAGTTCAACTAGGACATCATTACCATAACGTTTTGCTTGTTTTGTTCCATTCCATCCATGGATGCCTCGATATAGGACTTGTCGAACAGATCACTGAAAGGCTTGATTTTGTCCATGAAAGTATTACAAAGTTTTCAGTCTCTAATAAGATAAGTTTTCTGTGTAAAGGGTGTTGCATTTATATTTAATCTAACCTTTTTCCAATTCGTGTGAAGATTTTACAGTTGTATATTTATTGAACATTTGACTAGTATAATTTTGAAGGCTTCTATAGCGCCATTTTGTCGAACACTTGGAGGGTGTTGCCGGCGACAAGGTTTAATAATGTGCTTGATTGCAAAATGTAGTTAAACCCAATGTTGAAATAATATAGAGTTGGAGTAGATGTACAAAGAAGTTGGAATTCTTCAAACTGCCGACCAAACATTTAGGTCGAATTGCAAAGGACAAAATTGCCGAATGGAAAATATTCTTGAGGATTGGTGGAACTTGACGTTAATTCAACCGTGATAAAGAAGTTTCGTCATTATGTCAGTAAATTAAGTTCTAATAACTGACATTATGAGATAAATTCTCCCGATACATTTTACTTTTAATTTTATTTTTGACAGATCGTACGTTACGTTTCAAGTGAGAACCATTGTATATAAGTGAATTTCTCAGTAATTAGGGATAGATGATCTGCTAAGAAATAAATTGAGGAAAAAATGTATCGAAGGGGATTTGAATTCAACATTTCTCATGTATGTGAGTCAAGAATACGGCCCATTCAAGCATGCACAACTCCAGCTCTGCTTCCCTACTGGCTTGAAAAAATTATGATGTTTTATGTTAACAATTCTTGCACGCCAGGAAGTGCTCCGGTCATCATTTTGCAAACAATTATAAGCCTGTTATTTTAACGTACATTGTACTGTTAGCCGAGTTGTGAATGGATCATATTCTATCGGTTTGTATTTAGTCAATCAATTCATACTTGACATATTTATGGTCATGTATAGTTGGGTTTATGTTATGTATAAGTCTTATTTAGCGGGTATATGTCATATTTAATTGCATTCACGTTGACTCGTTTATTTAGTAAATTTGTGCATCGATAAACTCAAATTCACTAATTCATTGTTGACTTTGAATTGAGTTAATTGATCATGTTTATAATCGTGAGGCCAATGACTACTCATGATGTATGAATTCGAAAAGTAAGAAGGATGTTTAAACTAAAGACTTCATGACTTATGAATAGTAGTGTGTACGTGATTAGTGGTGAAGAAGACGACTTGAAGTTGAGCTTAGTGGCTCTATCCAATACTACAGTGAACCTGGGACTATGGTCCAAGATAAGGACAGGGTTCATCAGCTGAAAATTTTGGCTAATCTATTATATTACTTGAAAAAGAAGATAGAGTTACAATTCGTCCGATCCTTTTACATTGAGAAAACCTTTGTCACAAATGAAGTGGTTCTTCTATCACCATCACCTGGTTCCCAAGTTTTTTAAGATTGTGTTGAAGGAATATTAAGTCGTTAGAGGTTATATTTTCTAGGAGTGATATGACTTTCTAAAAAAATGTTGAGATGACCTTGCGACTTAACTTTAAGCTTGGATGTGTCGTGGTCTTCCATACCTATGAAAGAGCTTGTTGTAAGGTTGTTTTGTTTTTAGATAACCTCCTATTCCTTTAGCCAATTTGTGAGTAAAAGAATTCAATCCAAACATCTATCTTGAACTAGAAATGTTAATTTTCCACGTGATATAACGTGAACGACCTGAACACTTGTACCTGATGTCGTATATGAACAATCTTGACTTTTTATTTAAGGATAGATGTTTAGCCATTAGGTCAAGAGATAGGCATCGTCCGTTGGCTATTTTCACAAATCAATTACCTAATTATCCTTTAATTTATAAGTGATGTCATTTTGGGGTATCATAAGTTATTATGAATATGGGCCACACATTTTTTCTTTTGGGGTGGTGCGTTGGAGGGGGGGGGGATTTGGGTGATTAATCTCTCCCTCCATCCATAAACCCTATTGTCTTTTTATTTTTTTTATTTTTTATGAATAAAAATAAAAGAATACATGCAAATTTTAAACATATTTTACTTAACTTCATATTTACGACTATATTGCAGTAGTAAGAGTTCAAGAAGACTAACAAGTCTAAATATAAAATTTGTGGACCATCTTACAAAATGGAGAGGCCCTGTTTTTACTTTCTTTACATCATGATGTTGATGAATACTATCAATTGGTCAGCAAAAATAGCCCTGTCTAACTGAATTATATGACTTGGTTCCCAATAAGGATTCCTTTTTAATTATGTTCTGTTTCCTCACGTTGGGTTTTGCTTATCTTCTTTCTGCTGTTTACTCTGCAGTTTTGGGTCTTTCTTCCATCCATGACTTAATTCAGTTTTGGTGGCTCAAAACTTAGAATTAAATAGCTTTGATATCTGACGTAACAAATACTTTATGCTAAACAATACAAAAACAAACAATAAGTCGAATCTCTCAAATCTTTTGCTTCTCGGATGGTGGCGGACAATGCCTCTTTGCGTTGCAGTAGATGCCAGCCCATAAGGTCCGGCCTGCTTCCCGCCCGAAAGAACCGCTCAGTAGCTAGCCGGAGTAGTGGGGGGCCTATCTGGAGACATACCGGAAATCATGCCTTTCAATAAAGTGCATCCAACTGTTAATTAATACAGTATCATGTTTTAATCAGAGGAAAGTGTATCTGCAACACAACATTGTAAATGGGTTTTGACTCCAGTAAGTGACCGATCTGTTTCCAATTAGATCGTCATGAATGGAGATTGGGGTAATCAAGAAGGATAGACAACTGGGTAAAAGGAAATATTTAATGTACGAAATTTCTGCCATCAATTTCATTCCGATTAGATCAACCAATCAACCAAACATAAGTCGCTTATACATATTGGGTCCTACAAAGAAGAAAATAATTTTGAGGAAATTTGAATAAAAAAGAACGATATGTCACCATACTCTATAAGGGTTCTTTTACCAAATGTAAGTTACACTAACGTACAACAGAGCACACTGTACATATCTGATTAGTATGAGAGCCACCACAGCCCAACTCCAATAAGTACTTGGCAGTACCTGAACGTAACACATCATAATTCATATCCACAACTTCTAAATATATGTTCCTGGTATTTTTCCTTAACAATAATAATATATGCACATGTACTATTTACAGCACACTGTTCACTGCTAATTTATTTACACCAAGCTCTAAGAGCACCATGGGTAGTGCATGGGTTCCCACCCTTTCCAATCCTCAAAGTTTCCGGAGAAAACCCCCGGCTCACTGACCGCCTGAAAAGACGTAGTTGCTGCCGCCTCCGCCCATAACGACGAATCATCAAACTCTGGCAAGTTCGCATTCAAATTCCCCCAAAGCCCTTCAATACCCACTTCATTTTCACCCATTTTTTCGTGGGGTACAACATTCTCAGCTAGAAAAGTATTAGCGGAGTTATTGTCAAAAAACACTGGCTGTTCATCGGATACGCCACCAAATGACGAGCTTTCTGATGAACACGCAGAATACGGATTCTGTTGCATTTGTGGTTCATTTCCCATGTTCGTGACATGGGTGTTGGCGGAGGAGGAGATTGGAAACTGGGATTTGTTGTACAAATGTGGTAAATTGAGCGTAGCGTCGGGACCGAAGAGTTTACGAGCAGCAGCGTCGTAGGCAAGAGCAGCATCATATGAGTTCTCAAAAGTCCCTAGCCAGAGACGAGAACCGCGATTCGGTTCGCGAATTTCCGCCACCCATTTGCCCCAAGTCCGCTGTCGAACACCTTTGTAGGTACAAGCAGAATTCTCAGGACCACCTTTCCCTCTCATGCAGCCTTTCCTTGAGCTTGCTTGTGCAGGTCTCTGAGCTTGCTTTCCCTCTCCCATGTTCATCACTGATGATTTCAGCATGTTATGTGTGGATAAACTAGAAAGATGAGATCTCAATTCTTGATTGATTTCTCATTTATACTACAAAAGCAGGGTATTAAGAGCTTTAATGGAGGGAGTAAGTACTGTTACGTGTCTCCATTAATAAGTTTTGCTGATAGCTGGCAAGACCAACCTGTTTGATCGTGTCCTCAGTGAACTCAAGTTTTTCTCTATCACACACATGGCTTGGGAATAGTTTTGTACACAAGCTCAGGTGGCGATAAGGGGAGAGCACACACTCAAAGATGGCTGCTTGACAGAGAGAGAGAGAGAGAGAGAGGATATCGCTCACCGGCCCAATCACTCTGTCAATAAAATCTGGGGTGAATTGTATTTTAGAATGATTTTAAAATTTTTATTTTGCACCATCAAAAATTAAATTTATTATATTATATCCTCAATGTATCAAAAATATTATAATCTGACCCTTCTGTTAAATTTTTTTAGTTTTTTTGTCGGTTGCAATAAGATGATTTTTAACGGAAAGCCAAAACTTTTGATACATTTAAGGTGTAATGCGAAAATTTTAATTTTTAAAAGTACAAAATGAAAATTTTTTTAAACAAAAACCCCATAATTTTTAGTTGCATAATAATAGGTTAAAAAAAAAATTTGAATCCATAAAAAATAGAGGTCTTACAAAAAATTTAGATTTAAGTCAACATAAAAAGTTTTTAACTTGAATGAATTAAGCCTATTAATTCATTCAGCTGAAATTAAACTGCACTAAAATTTAATTTTTTCTAAAACAAAAATAAAAAAATTAATAGCAAAATTAAAACTACTAAAAATTAAGTCTTAACACTAAAAAAAGGTCAAGTTTAAATGTACCATCATAAATTTTCAATCACTCTTTCTCTTACCATCAAGTTCAATTATAATAACAAAAACTTGAATATAAAAAATTAATTCATATTTTATATTTCAAAAAATAAAAAATAAAATTTAAATAAATTTATGATTAATATTAAAAAAAATATTTATTAATTTCACTTTAGGCCCAAAATGTCTCCATTAACTAGTGGGGATATGAATTTGTGATGTCACTGTGAGGAAGTGGATGTAGATAAGTTCATGATGATACTCCCAAAACCTGGCATTTTGACATTTTGACATTTTGCAACACAAGTTGATACGTGGGCCATCCAAGTCCGTATATATTTTAGGTGGGTGAGACTTGGAAGTATGTAGAATTCAAAGAATGGCTCTGGATTCATTGAAATAGTTATAACTATCACAGGAAGGAAAGAGAGGGGGACTGAGCAGAACACAACCAAACAAGATAATAATCTTCTTCCCTGGCCCAAAAAATATCAAAAAGAGAACTAGCACAGGGGGAGAGAGAGAGAGGGGGGGGTGGGGGGGACTGAACATAACACAACCAAACAAGGGGGGTGATGGGAAGATGATGATGGCCTCCTTTTCCTCTAAAAAGTGAATACTAAATGTTGATGGTTGAATGTTAGCAGCAGCAAGAGGGAAATGAAAATCTCCTCGACTATCTTTTCACATAACTTTCATTTTCTGTGGATCAAATACGTGTATGTTAAACATGACTCACTATTATACATAGACCTCTCACTCGTGCATGGTGTGTTAGAAAGGATGTAGATTCTATGGCTCAAATTTTTCCCTAATTCTCCAGGGTTTTTGGCTTCTGGCATGGAGTTTGTAGGGTATCTTTATTATGATCAGTGAACAAGTCATGTACATCACTGTCATTTAATTTTACGGAAAAGTATTTCAGCAACAAAAAAATCAACATTGATAGTAATGGTCAATTATCTTTGCATCATATAGATGGAGAGTTAAAAGAGGCTAATACACGTTATTATATTGAGAACAATTGAAAGAGATGAGTAGGATAAACGGATGGAATTGAACGAACTCGAACAACATATTAAAGAAGGGACCAACCAAATTGGACAAAGGGTAAATGGAATAAAAACTCTCACCAACCAAGTAATAAAATCTCTTCCTCCGTAGTAAGTAAGTAATGTAGGTATTTATAATATAGTGTCCGAAAAGATCGAGTTGTCTGAAGGACTACCAACCACGACCCCCTAGCACCTGTGTTAACCCATAACTATCTCAACCACAATGATACTAGAGCTCGCTAATCCTGAGTCACGTGTCCCAACATTAACTAAGTAGATGTGACGTTTTCCCAAACGTAACTTAGACACAAGTCTAGAGAAAGTGCGACAGCCGAGGTGAGATGGGACTCCCAAGGTCAATGACCACTTGCAGGACCATGACTTCGAGAGCCCTCAACGCTTTCCTACCCAGGGTCCTCCTTTTCCTCTGTGGACCCTTCCTCGAGAACTTTGTCGAGGTGTTCAATAGAAGAAACCAACAAAATTTTGATCCTTCAGCCACCAATCTACAAGTCATAGTATTCTTTATTATGGTCAAAACTAATAACCCCATGTCCTCAGGTATTTTAGAAGTCCCTCCAGATCCTAGTCAAGCATATTCTGTTGGGTAATGTGAGCTATACACTAAGAGACCTACTAGAGCAAACTAAACATTCAAGACTCTACTCTAGACTGAGGTTGACAATTATCCTCGTCCGCCCCCGTTTCACAGTACTTTCTTAAGGAGGGTTATACTGGCTTGTCTTTAAGTGAGGACCCCTTCTCTTAGTTTAGTGGGTCAATCAAGTAATGGTGTCCAATAGATTGAGAATACCAATCCTGGGGGAAGGCGAGTCTTGCTAAGTTGCTCTCAAACTTCTACGGTTCCACTCTTATCCGCCCTTGATGAAGGGTTCATTTTGTCACTTCCATTATGATGGGGATGTGTTTCGCGAGAAAATATTCAATACAACGATGATATCACATCAGTATTGATGATATGATATTATCAACCAATAATAAAATTTCAAATTGACAAAATAAATCTCACTTAAATAGTTATTAACTTATATAAAAAAAAAGTTAATAATTATTAGTTTACATGGACAATTAGTTATTTACTTGTAAAGAGTCCATTTTCCTATTTATTTACATATTATTAGTTAGTCATACCATGTCATTAATGGTAAATGTGATATCACTATTGTAATGAATATTTGTTTGTGTTTCACTGTGTTGCGGTGTTGCCCCTGAGAGCATCGCACATGGGGACGTCATGCATGGGAGTGTCACACCTCGGATTGTTATCCATACCAATCTAACTGGATTTGTCGTGCCCCACTTTTACGTCACCTGATGACTTATGCCACTTGTCCTGTTATAGTGTAGTCATGTATCCTGAATTTGTCGGATATTACATATCATAAGCATAGCACTTCCAACACACCAAAGAATGTGGGTATGCAATTAATCGGGTGCATAATGTACACAATCATAAACGAGTAAATCCAACACAATATAATTAATAAACAAATCAAGTATAGATAAAATCAATCAAAAAAAATTATGCTACACGAATAGTTTATATATCAGTCATATACGATATGAACCGTATACGATGCAATTCGTCAAACACATATTAATTAACAAATTGGATATTAGTAAATATTTTTTTATACGAACTCATTAAAACTTGACACAAACCCCATCTCACCCGACACGATTGACATACTTAATTACGTAAGAAAATGGCTACAAGAAGAGAATGAATGGGGAGCAGCAGAGTTGCACTCATGATTCGATGAAACCTTGTATTAACCAAGAACCTTTGAAGAATATGCAAGCATCGATGACTACATTTCACTTGAGACCAAAGAATACACTAAAAAACCAGATAGCAACACCGTATTAAACAGATATAACTATGGCAGATCGTCCAATGACAGTAATGCTTCGAGGAACTTCCCTGGTCTAGGTCTTGAGAAATTCCTTCAACGAAAATAGTGGAAGCGCATCCTACAATAAAACGAAAATAGAGTAAGAGGCAAGTAGCTCATGGCTCACTTAGTTCAAAAGGAAGCAAGTTTTGTACCAGTTCTCAGAGAGACAAAGATTGGCCCATTATGATCTCAAGCAACAAGACAGAAACAACCATTGTTCCAGCTTATAACGAAAAAACTTTTAAATCAACTACTCCCAAACAATTGATTGGTAACCAACTTCATACCTTGCCTAGCTCTTGATTTAAGTATTGTCTAACAACTGTCGTCTGCTGTATTAGCCTTTCCACCCCTGAATAGTTGGGCAGGTTGGCATGTGCTGCCAATACCACGAGTCACAAGACAAGGAACCAGTAAAAATAGTTCAGTAGAACAGAGATCATTGAGACAATAACCAGCAAGTGACATTTATGGGAAGATGGAAAAGGTGGGAAATAAAAAGGTTCCTAGGAACAGTGTAAGTACTTGAAGGAAAGTAGGATCCTGACAGATACACACCCAGTATTGCTCTATTCAAATTGTCTGCAACATGCTGCCGGTACTCCAAGCTAAGTAGATGAAACACTGGGGACTTTTCTGGTTCTTCATATGCTAGCAGAGCCATGAAGTCCTGCAACACCATCACAGTTGTCTCATTTCAATGAGGATCCAGGCAAATAACATTAGAAAAGCTTAACATGATTTCCTGTGAGAAGAGGCATACTTCAAGCTTCTCAACATATTTTTGCTCCTTTCCAAAAGGAGTCAATTTAATCTGGGCAAATTCCAGAGCTTCTGTGCTGCCACAGAAATGTGCATTCAGATAAAAGAGGGAACATGAACTCAGCAAAACATAAAAGAAAACCAAATAGATGTTATTACTCTCTGCTCACCATTTCCTAGAGCAGACAAGCTCAACGAAATGAAGGCTCAAAAGATCAAAATACAGGTTCCTATTTTTGTCCAGTAAGTCAGGTGCAAGTTGCTCCGTCAGTTCAATGGCCTTCAATGCATTTCCCTCCAATGCAAAATGGAAAATTCCTAAAAATAATTGCACAATTAGCACCACCAATCAAGCAGCCAAAATAATTATAAATATATAAGAATATCCGACAACATTTACCAATAAAACTCTATCTCCCCATCATAATAGTTAACAACAAAACAATTCTAACTTTAGTTTCTGTCCTTTCACTCATTGTTTCTTCCAAGGAATGCAGCGGACAAACATTTAATCTGGCCGATATGTGTATGCAGCCAGGGGTAAAACAGCTGAAAGATAACATCCACAATTTTGACCATTTAGGCGAGCAACATTAAACAATTGACTTTGCCTCAAGTGTTCACATGCAAGCTCATAGATGAAGACACAAAAGTACCAACATTCTAGTCCTGTTTGTTACTGGATGCCTGTCTATTCGTATTAGCTTATCTCATGGAGCAGTTAATGTAATAGCCAATCTCCAAGCCCCTTGAGACCCATTGCCAGGGAACAATTGTGATTATGATTTGTTGATGAACCAAACACATTTTTGTACTTTGACATCGAACCCAATCTTGCAATTTCACCACAACCAAGCAACATAACCCACCCGAAAGCAAAATTCAAGCCTCGAATATCAGTCTTCCAAAATCCAAAAGTTATAAATGAAAAAAAAAAGTCACCTACGTTTTCTTTTCTCCATGTCCTCAAAATGATCAGCAGAGTGCTTAATCCCAGTACAAGCAACAAATGATTCCACAGTGTCTTTGAAGCAGTTATGCACAAGATATGACAGGACAATGTTATGTATGTCATTGTCATTGATAGCCTGTCAAGATAAGTAAACATATAGTCAAATCAAGTTTTAAATTAGAGCACATAAAAGCACCTTCAGGTAGATACAGGAGTGGTCTTCTTTACAAAAAAATTACAAGCACACATAACATTATAGAATCACAAATCCAAGTAATCTAGGTAGCACAAACACCTCTCAAGCCTATGCTTATGTATTAGTGTTTGGCATGTTCGGGACACACACATGCTCCGAATACATTCGAACATGTGCCAGTGATGTGAAAATAATTAAAATTCAAAAGAATTCAGGACAAGCTGGGGACACATTCTGCACATCTTTTTTTTTTTTTCCCTATTAGAGGACACGCTCTGAATACATTCGAACATGTGCCAGTGATGTGAAAATAATTGAAATTCAAAAGAATTCAGGACAAGCTGTGGACACATTCAGCACATCTTTTTTTTTCTATTAGAGGGGAGCTTGCTTAGTCCAAGGTAAAGTGCTTGGGTTAACAAGCACGACAACCTTGGTTCATAGTGCTGGTTTGAACCCAGCTACAAGCTGGACTGCATTGGTTAATGACTTATTCTTTATATTCTCTGCTATCACTAATTTGTTATCAAATAATCTCTTAAAAAAACACCATGCCCGCAAGTCAAAAGGTCTAAAGTTATCCACAGGATAGAACCTAAATAATCTCAATCAACATAATAACGGAATCCTCACATCACTGCATATACAACATGCATCCATATTTCATGTAGTGATTCATGTGTAAGTTGAAATTTCCTGTAGAGAGACAGCGTGGAATTCGTCAATTTCTAATCAGAAAAAAACAAAATTTTCATGTGCACATCTGAAAACCATTAGAAATTAGAAAATGGACACATGGCATCTATAAAATAGTATAATGCCAACACAAGATGAGGCTTCTATATGTTTTGTGACCGCTGTCACGTAAGCTAACAACTAGAAACATCAATCCAAAACAATTTTGGGCAATTCCACCCACCAAATTTTCAAAACATTTTTAGGATCAGTGGTCAACTGATAGTAAATACATAACTAACATTCCAGAAATAAAATGCTTCTAGAAAAGAAAAGGAAATAGAGGCACTTTCAGAAAACTAATTGCAATTCACAAATAAACATGACTACTTTTCATTCTTACTGATAACTGATGACTACTAGTCATCAAATGTTGAAAAACCTCAGTATCCAACCGCCACAACTAGGTTTTTGTATTATTGTATTACATGAGATATGGCATATATATGGCAATTTGAATCTTGACATGGACAATGCAAATTCATCCAAATGATCATCTACATCCAATTTCAAGATTTCATAACTATCAAATTACACATGGCAGAACCAAATAAGAGGTCCACACAGAACTCTATTTTTTTCCTGAGAGAGAAGGAACAAAATCAAAAACCTTCACCTTTTCCAATCTTATTCTTCCTTTAATATTTCTGTTTCATCTAACCAGTTATGCATTCAATCGTAGGTCCAACAATTGACCTTGTTCATGCGCTTAACTCGTTTCTATGTCTTTTGTGTCGCTCACTCCCATGCATCTGATCCATCAATCGAAGTGCAAAAGCCTTTCAAATCATACAGCAAAAACTGCAACGGTACAAATTGCACATGCAAGCATTGGGTCGAACTCTTCTTTGGTGTCATGGTAATACCTATGAATAGCCATCGACTTTCCAGAAAGGGTAGAAGAATTGGACAACCCATTATGGGACATTCAATGCATTACAGACCTATGATCATTACATTTTAACTGGGTTATTCTATTCCACCTCTTAGAAAGAAAAGAACTAAAATCAACCTAATTTCTGCTAAAAATTTAGATAAAAATAAATAATACATGACCATTAGTTTTCATTACCCGAAATTCTAATCACTTCGGTGGACAAATACAAGAACCGAGTCAATCAACAGAATATTCACACAAATTCCCAATGACTTCGTTTTCTAAACCGACTTACTAACTCAAAAAACAGAAAAACATTAGACAGCAACTTGAACTCAAAACAAAAGTATGAACCTAGGTTTTTGATATTTACCACGCAGAAAAGCCAACACCTTGAGGGCAATAAATATCGAATAGCAATTATAAACAATCGAAAATCAAAAAAATCACAAACATAGATATAATCATCCAAATACGGTAAGATTATATACCTAAATATTGACAATAGCGGTTTCAATTTTGGATAAAGAAGGAACAACTTACAATATTTTCGTACTGTCGTGGATCGACTTCCATTATTCAAACGCCTCCTTCGAATTACCTGCAAAAGTTATTTACAATAATAGGATAAAAATCATTCCTTTTTTAATTCGTGTACATATATGAACTCAAGCGTCTCTATTCTCTGTCGCAATTGAGAAGTGGACACTCAATCGTTTTTTCAGGGCACTAGGATGGGCCTGGATGGAGAGATAAAACCGCTACAGTGTTTCGTACTACTTGTACACGTGGTGATCCCTGTGCTCGCTTGCTTGAGTGCTGCATCGAATCTGGCACATGGTCTCTTTTTTTAATAAGGTTGTAACTAAAATGAGTATTGTTTCTCCTTCTTGGTTGGTGTTGGTGCCCATAAAATTAGTCAACAACACCCCCCCCCCCCCCCCCCCCCC